GATTAGTATATTTACAGACTATTATTAGAATTTGAACTCGATGGTTGCAATAGAGTCATTTTGACTATTGTGAGTTAAATAAAATAAACTCCAGATCCATCAAGTATATTCCGTATATCGCCCAGCAATATGAAAATTCTTAATAGGTATGGACATCTATGCAATAAGCCAATATCTGTTTGTTTTTTTTGTCCAGAAAGCAGTGAAGTACTGACCGGATGTATCTGGGCTGCGATTTTCCCTGAACCACATCTTTGTCCAGTTCGACGGCAGCGATGTCGGAGTGAGGCACCTCAAACATGGGCTCAAGAAGAAGTTTCTCCTGTATTTGTAGGAACAATGGGTTCATAATATTACAGAGGATTAAAAGCAGGAAACGTTAAAGAATGAAAACTTTGATGGAAAGTGACGAACCATGATGGATCTGAGGCCACGAGCTCCGGTTTTTCTCTCCAAGGCCAATCTGGCGATGGCTCTCAAGGCATCCGGGGTCACATTCAGCTCGCACTACAGATCAAAACACACACGCTCCATTAGGTTGCTACCTCTGTGACGCCACTGGGCAAAACTAACCGGCGTCCTCACTTTGTCCATGCTGAACAGAGCCTGGTACTGAGGAACCACAGCGTTCCGCGGTTCGGTCAGGATTCGGACCAGCGTGTCCTCATCCAAGCTGTGCAGAGGAACCACGACGGGAAGACGGCCGACGAACTCCGGGATCATTCCAAACTCGATCAGGTCCCTCGCCTCCACGTGCTTCAGCAGCCGGTCCTTCTCCTCGATCTCCGCCACGGCGTCCGTTTCGCCGCTGCTGTTGGCCAGGTCCGCTGCGGCGGCCGCTCGGCGCCCTTTCCCCAAGTTAGACGGCGTTCCAAATCCCAAATACTAAAACAGATTAAAAAAAGAAACCAATCAGAGATGAAGCGATGCGTCGTCTAGGAATGAGGCAGGTTCCATTTACCTTTTCATTCTTCCTTCGGCTTATAATCCTGTCGAGGCCGTTGAAAGCTCCCGACGCAACAAACAGAATGTTGGTTGTGTCGACCTGAACCGTTTCACCTCTTAGTTTTCTAGAGTTTTTCTCTGGAACGTTGACGATTGTTCCCTCCAAGAGTTTCAGCAATCCCTGCAGTGGAAGAAAAATAAATAGCAATATTTGGTCGTATAAAGAGGGGGAAAAAAATAAGTTTATGGCTTTTAAATCAGCTGTGTGATTTAGAAAAAACTCTCCTGACACCAAAGGAGCCTTTAAAAAAAAAGATACT